CTTCTGAGCTACAAATGAAACTAATGTAACTTATTAAACCTTTCTTTTCTAGATATATTGTCCCATTCTCCTTCTCTTTAGGAGAGAAAAATTCTCAAAAGGGTGGTTAGTAGCTGTGCTCTCTACTTCTCACTTCCTGTTTTCCCCTCATCCCACTCTAGTCAGGCTTCTGTCCCCTACTCCACTGCACCTGACCTCATCAAGGGGGAGCAGTGGCCTCTGGGTACCAAACTCGAAGTTCACTCTTCAGACCTTCCTTCCTCCTTCCTTCTTGATGCCACACTTTCCTGGCTCTCCCCTCTCTTCACTGACAGACTCCCGCCACCAATTCCTTGGCTGGCTCCCACTTCGCTTCCCTTCTCCTCTCTCACTGCTCTCTCATCATAGGCAATCTCCTCAATCTAGCACTATCATCAGAGGAGTGACTTCCAGTGCTAGTTTCTGTCTTGCATTTTCTGTTTTGCTCTTTTGGATTGCTCACCTTGGCGGAAGTTAGCTGATCTGTCACAAGGACACTTAAGCAGCCCTACAGAGAAGCAGACACAACAAGAAATGGAGGCCTCCTGCCAACAGCCAGGGCAGAACTGAGGCTTCTGACAATGTCTGTGGGAGTGATCCATCTTGAAAGTGGATCCCTGATCCCCAGTCAAGCTTTCAGATCAGTACAGTCCCTGCTGATGGCTTGATTGCAACCTTCCGGGAGATCCTGACCCAGAACCACCAACTAAGTTGCTTCCAGACTCCTGACCTGCAGAAATTATGTTAGATAATAAGTGTTTGTTGCTTTACATCACTAAACTCTGGGGTGATTTGTTATGCAACAATAGGCAACTGGTATACCTATGTCTACCTCTCTGACCTCATCTTTCCACATGCTCTTGCAACATCTGCGTGCCTACTGTGCCTGAAATACGCTAAAGTTGTTCCTGACCAGGATCCTTGCCCTCACTGGTCTCTCTGGTTAAGATTCTGTTACCCTGGATCTTCCATGCCTGGCTTTTTCCTGTCATTCAGGACTTAGTCTTCTGTGACCATTCATTCTAAGTTAACTTCTTCCCTATCACCATCCCCAAAAGTCTCCATCACACTGCTCTGTGTTATTTCTCTCAGAGTGTCCATCACTAATCATGATTAATTTTTTTCTTTGATTTTATTTATTTATTCATTATTTGAGCAGGAAAATGCTGTTCCATGACATCCTCTGTGCCTAGACAAATTTAGGGAATGAAACAGGTGTTCAGTCAACATTTATTGACTAAAACAATTAATAAAATCATTTCAGTGTTATTTATTGGAACAATACCCTTAAGAAAATTTCATCAACTTCTGAGATCAGAGTCTAAATATTTTTTCTTACTGGGTATGTTTAGCTGGCCTGTTGACTTAGAATGTCACAACTACATTGAAAGTTTCAAAGGACGAATATATTTAAACAAAGGTGAACAAATATTGTGGGAGAAATATAGGAGGCAAGATGAGTCAAAGTCAACACAGATTAAAGTTGTACTGACTCAGGGCTGCCTCAGGTCCAGCAGCTCTGGTTGGCAAAATGTTTCTAATACATATTTGTTCTTCAAGAAGATTTTAGAAAATTGGCAAGTTACCATATATAATATCTCAAATCTTGCCCCAATTCCACCAGTACAGTCAGAGAAATTAACACCTACTTTCATTTCAATTATATATATAAAATCTCTCCATAAAAATGGTGGATGGTATAAACACCAAATGTTAATTTTGTTATGACAAACATCTTTATGTTTTTATACCATAGATTACCTAGAAGCAACATTAAAAATATTTAATATTTGGTATAGTAAATATAAATTAAGGTATAAATCAATATATATATACCACAAATTAAAAATATATTTTCAATTATTTTTACCTAAATTATGGGTAGCATAAAAATGTATAAAGCTGTAGTGCAAGTCAGTCACAAATCATTGTAATCATTTCTAGTCATTTGTGATTTTTTAAACTGCCCATGCGTCCTGGGCTCTTTGGGTTGGCAGCAGGTACCTTCCTCTGTGAAGGCCATCACTTCTGGTTGTGGTGGCCCTTTCCTGCATCTGCAACTCCCAGTGAATGCCTAGGTCTGTCTCCAGCTTTCTACCCTTGTCCCATGGGGCTGGGAAGATAGAAGCCTCCCATGTGGCTAGGCCCAGAGGGCTTCACCATCTTTTGAGTATCTTAGCCTTACCCCAATCTTTGTAAATAGACATTTCATTAAACTTTCCTCAGTCACTGTGTTTGAGTCAAGGTGATGTCTTATTCTTCTTGTATTTATAGCACCGGCCACAATGAGGTAAATCTTACAGAGTTTACTTCAGAATAATAAAAGGGATTATAAAATATATGTTATCAATGGAAAATGGCTGGGTGTGATATGGTTGAGAACCTCTGCTCTAGAACAAGGGTTTATGAGAATATTGCTGGAGGGACATATAACAAAGTCTTCTCCTCCTCATTAGTCTCTTGAGTCTAGAGCCAAAAAGAGCAGGTAAGTGTTCAAAAGAAATGGAAGCCTCCTGGGAAGACATCTTGGGGCACCTTGGCTGGGCTGAGTTGGACTAACGTAAAGGGTACAAGTCATGTGTCCTGTGACTGTGTCTGCCCTAACCCACTCAGCTCCGGGGATGTTCGCACTAGGGCCCTGAGCTCAACCTCATAAATCCTAGATTTCCTGCATAAAAATGTATAAAGCTGTATTGCAAATCAGTCATGAATCATCTAGTCACATTTCTAGTCATTTGTGATTTTAGGAGCCCAAGTTATGGTCTCAGTATGTGGCTGAAGCTAAGAATCACTCTATCCTAGCCTCTCCTGCACAGTGACACAGTGACATGCCAGGGGGAAATGTGCATCTTGTTCTATAGTCTGAGAGCCCAGTCCTGAGTTCTCAGGAGGAAGATCTCCTTCCTTCCGTCTGCAGCTACAGAAGATAAGGATGCTGCTGCTTAGGTGGACTAATGGTGGCCAGTGTTTTGACTAAACCTCATCAGATTAGGGGGTCTGGCACAACAGGCACAAAGGGCAGCAAAGAGCAGGGGTCGCAGCAAAGGACCTATTGAATTTTCTGTTTGTCTCAAGACTACTTGATTCCTTGACTGGAGTAAACCCCTCTGGTGGTTGGATTGAACATGAAACGGAGGCTCTGAGGGAGGGGGAAGAATGTTCTTGCTATTCTGAGGTGGATGTTTGAGTGACTTAAATAGAATATTTAAAGATATGATATGATTGGCATCTTGGCCACCAACATAGCATCTAGACTGAGAAAGGCCCAGAAGCTTTGGAGCTACGGACACAGCCACATTGGCAAGCACAGGAAGCGACTGAGGTAACACTGGTGGCTTGCATCATCACAAGATCAATTTCAACAAATATCACCTCGATTACTTTGAGAAAATTGGTATGAAGCATTACCACTTACAGAGGAACAAGAGCTTCTGCCCAATTATCAACTGTTATAAACTGTGGCCTTTGGTCAGTGAGCAAATATGGGTAAACACTGCCAAAAATAAGAGTGGAGCTGCTCCTATCCCTGACATGGTGCTATAAGGCTACTACAAAGTTCTGGGGAAGGAAAAACTCCTAAAGCAGCCTGTCACCACGAAGGCCAAGTTCTTGAGAAGAGCTGAGGAGAAGATTAAGGGTGTTGGTGGGGGCGCTGGTGGGGGTGGCTTGAGGCCACACAAAGAAAAGATCATTAAGTGCTCACAAGTGCTTTTGTGAAAAAAAAATTCTATATGTATAGCTGTCTGGTAAAGCAGGGTGTATGGCTATACTTCAATGACTCCCTATTTTCCTTAAGACAAAACCCAAACTTCTTGCCATGGCTTTCAAAGACCTTAGGACTCTAAGCTTTGTTCTCTTACCTCAGCTCATTATCTCCCTTGCCCACTTGGGGAATGTTCCCCTCAGACCTCATGACTTCTCTTTCTTCAAATACACCACTTAGATTCCCTCAGGCCATCAACCCTGCTGACTTTCTGCCTGAATTACATCTCTGCTGCTTAACCCAACGAAGATCTACCCACTTGCTTCACTAACTATGACTTTCATTCCTGAAGATCTCATGTCAGACATCACTCCCCTCCTTGAGAGATCATGACTGACCCACAGATTCACACAAAGATGTCCTTTTTAGGTTCATGTCCAACACTGTCACAACCATGGGCATGGTGTTGTAGATTAAGTTGTGTTCCCCCCAAAAAATATGTTGAAGTTCTAACCCTGGGTATCTATGAATGTGACTATCTGGAAATAAGGTCTTTACAGATGTAATTGAGTCAAGATGAAGTCATACTGAATTAGTGTGGGCCCCAATCTGATGACTGGTATCTACATAAAAAGAGGGAAATCTGCATAGAGACACAGACATCTGAGGTGTGCCTCATGACAACAGAGGCAGAGGCTGGAGTTATGCATCTACAAGCCAAGCAATTCAAGGATTGCCTCGAACGACCAGAAACTAGAAAAAGACAAGGAAGGAGGCTTTCCAAAAGCCTTCAGAAAGAGAGCATGGCCCTGCTCATGCCTGATTCACACTAAGAGACTCCAGAAACACGAGAGAATAAATTTCTAATGTTTTAAGCCACTAAATTTGTAGTACTGCTACCGCAACCTTAGGAAATTGATATACATGGTATAAGATTAGAATTACTATTTTCTTGTTTCTCTCCATAGAATAACCTACATGAGCACAGAGACTATATCTGACTTGGTCATCATTATTTACCCACCTCCCAGAACACTGAATATTACATATTACATAAAATAAATATTAGTTTCCTAATTGAACAAAAAGAAAACATTGTTTATGTGAAGAAAATGGTGTTCAATGGGAGAGAGAATAAAGTGTTTAGGTTGTGTGTCAGAAAGAAAATGACAATTTTTGTGAACTAAGAGTGTCAAATGAGTATTTCTACTTAACTTTTTTTGACAACATATATGACAACTGTTCTATGACAATTTTTCAAATATATCAAAGAGTCCATGAAACTTATTCTCCATTTATTTTAAGGTAAAGGCATCCTAGAAGGTAATCATGCTTTCACATTTCACCAAAACAAAATAGATTGCTCAGTAAGGAAATAGGCATAATTTATTTCTAATTAAATTAACACTATACTTCAGAAAGTATTCTTAGTCATACAAATACCAGGATCTATATCTAAGAAGAGCATTTATTCTTGAAAAATTTCAGGAGACTGATCCTGTGCATGCTGGGCATCCACGCCTGCTTTATTTAGAACCTGAAAATCTTCCTAGCTTTTTCTAACTGTTTCTCATCAAAGGGAGGCTTCCTCTGGCTGCCAGGCTGCAGAAACTTCTTCACCGTAGGGAGGTTGCTGATCCTGGCTTTCAGGGCCTGCAATGCGCGAGAGCACAGTCTCAGGGTACAGACAAAACACTGCAAGGCATCAGCACAAGCCAGGGATTCCGAGTCCCTCCTAGACGAGGGCCAACAGAGTCCCCTGCCTCAGCAGTACCGTGAGGCTGGCAGACAGATGGCCAGCTGGACATGAGGATGAGAGGAAGAAAACAGAACTCAACAGCACTCTCCCCAGAGGCGTGGGTAAGACTTAATTCAGGTTTCATCTCCCCTGTCTCCTTCTCTACATGGAAATCCCGTCGACTCGTCACTCCCAAGCGTACAGGGAAGAGCAACACAGATAAAGGCTACAAACTGGAAGAGTGAAGGTATACGAAAATGAGGCAGAAATGGAGATACAAAATAGCAACTACATATTTTATATATCTAGAAGGAAATAAAAAGGAAACCACGAGGGTGGTCATATAAAAAGAAATATAAAAGGAGAGCCAGCTTGTGCTCTGGGAGAGAGACTGAGAGAGGGGGCTGCACAGAGAGAAACACAGTGTCTGAAGAAGGAGGAGGAGCCGAGGGAAGGAAATCAGAGAAGGGCACCTGCTCCTACCAGCTCAGGGCAAGCACGCATCTGGGAGAAAGGGAAGCCTAGAGAAAAAGAGGCCAGACACTGCAATGGGACAGGGCTGAGGACAGAAATGACGAGTCCTGGGTCCGTCTCAGTGTGAAAGACAAACTGTTCTCCCTGGGGTAGCATCCACCTCCAGTTTCCTTGACAAAACAAGATTCTTTTCATGCCTCAGACCTGGGTCGGTGAGCAAGTTTTGGGGACTGGGGGATCATAACATCACCAGTCCGAGAGTCCAACTATTAGATCCCAAGACAGGGGATGTGGGCCCTCCCTCGGAGGGCTGTGACAGAGATTACCTTCAGAAGAGGGAAGCTGGCCAGAAGGCTGGGGTCAATCTCTTCAACAGAGTAGATAAGTTCAACCAAGTGAATGTCAGCCCTGCTCAGCCTGTTGCCAACCAGGTAGTCTTGTCCGTGGCTCTTGAGCACCTGGTGAATTGGAGGGATCAGATTGGGAAGAGGGGCACAATTAGCCTGGGTCCCCGAGCTCCTGACCAGGTCTCTCCAGCCCAGCTTCCTGCCTCTGCTGCCTCACCGGGCAGGCGAGGGGCATCAGAGCACGTTCACCACCTCAGTTCAGTGAGACGGAGAGAAACAGGGCTCTGCTGTTCTTGCCTCACTCTTCAGTGGAAGCCCAAGCTAAGGGTCCTTTTTCCCGTTCCCACATCACTGCACTCCTGATATGCACCTCCTGCTGGCCCAGGGCAGGCTGTGGCTGCGCTGTTTTTCTCTTGGCTCCAAACCCCAAAGTTCGTACTCCTGAAACTCCAGACATGGCTCCCTCCCTTTCTCTCTCCTCTCACTTGGCAATTGCCCTACTATGTCTCTGACATCTTTCTTCAGTGCTGAGCAGAGCAGTTCAGAGTCCAAAGTTCTCCTCTGTGTGTTCTCCTCATTTCCTGGTCTGTCTCTTTGGGACCTGACGTAAATGCGGGCCCACTTGAATTCACCATCTCCTTTGCGACACAGGCTCTGGCTCCTAACTTGCACTGTTTTAGGACCTGCTGCTGAAATGTCTAGGTGTGAATGGCAGGGATGCTTGAAACTCACTGGGTAATACAAATAGTCTGTTTGATTGATGCAGAACGTGGTTGAGAGGCACAAGCATGAGAGAGCAAACATAATGAACACTTAATAGTTGTATTGTCATGATGGGCACATATGTGTTCATTGTACATTTGTCTCACCTTTTCTGAATGTATGAAAGTTTTCATAATAAAATGTTGGGGGAACCTGTGATATTCATTAAACTAGCCCAGCAATACGGAAAACATAAAGTATAAAGAGAATAAGCACACAGCACCAGCAACTAAAGACAACATTTGGGCAAATACCCTTTCAGATCATGGATGCATATGAAAGAATAGGTAACCATTTAATAAAGATTATAATAACATCAAAACTCATTTTGTAAGATTCATTTTTTTTATGTTACCATGGAGCTCTTTAGTATCAAAGTATCACGTCTCAAACTGCAGTGACCGATGAGCTTGCTGTTATGTGAATGCCCCCTAAACTCTCACGCCACAGGGCCCACGAGGGTGTATTTTCAGACTACGGTTAAATTCTTTGTTTCTGAATATGGATAGACACCCAAATAATGAATTAACATTTGTTGCATGAGTGAAAGGATGCCTTATAAATGCTTTTGAATGCTTTCTAGAGATGAGGGTATCAGCGTTAAACCTTGTATTTACGTGTAAGACTCCTGCATCCCTTTCGACCTTTACTTCAGTCCATAGCTTTACTGAGCTTCATTTCAGGAAGTTTTGATCCAATGTGTTCTTCTTTTACCTTCAAAGTGAAAACTCTGACGTGTACTACACATGAAATGATAGAACGTTATGCCTTAGTTTGAGAGGCTTTCGTCTAAAGTCTGACGACCCAATTCTTTTATCTCTTCCTGAACATCTTTTCATCTGTCTCTTCCTTTCCATCCCACTGCCCCCACCTTGTTTAGACACATCTCCTCCATCCCTGAAACAGTACCCTATTCTCCTGCCGGGCAGTTGGTCTCGTGTCTCCCGACACGTGCTGCCAGAACACTCTCTGATCAATTGCTTTCATCGTGCTGCTCTTGGATGAAAAGCCCCCAGGGGGTGGGTGCTCTGTGGGATCTACTGCATCGCCAGTGTGGCTCTCAGAGCCTTCCACGGCCCGTGCTCTGACTATGACCATGAAATGCCAATGCCATCAAATGCAGAGTTCTCAACTGGGCCCTAGCCAATAGAAGTGTTGCTGAAAGATCATACCTCGGGTATGAGAGATAGGTATCCTCCCCACAGTTGACTTCTGTCACGTGCCCAGAGAGCCAGTGTGCTATTAGTGTTCAGGAGGGCTCTCCGGAAGTGAAGGTCTACGCCCCAGGACTGCCCAGGTACGATTTCCCTTTGTCCTCTCTCATCTCAGTGCCCTGAATGCTAAACAGCCCACTTACTTTTTCAAAGGCAGGGAAGTAACGATTCCTTGTTCTTTCTTTGATGTTGGCCATCTTGGCTTCCTTTGCATCAGGTGGGCATAAGGGGAAGAGCATGATCATTTCATTCAAATCGCTCACACCTTCTGAATACATATCAATCCTGAAAGAGAAAAATGACCCAATTGTCAATTGTTGCTTGACTTACATGTTATTGTTTCAAAATGTAAAAGAATGGGGCTAAAGGGTTTCAGGGCAATTCCCTCCATGGAGTATTTTCTGACGGTAGTCATTCAGCTACGATTTGCACTTAATGTCAGCATTTCATATCAAGGTAGATGTCCACGTCTAACATTTTTGTTATGCACATGACCACATAGAGGGCCAGAAAATGTCAGTGAGGTGTCCAGAGGCACAGGCATAGAGAAATTGGTGGAATCGCTGCAAGTAACCACTGAGACTACACTGAGGGTTTGCCACGTCTGCTGTGGTTTGTTCCGGGCGCACACTCAGTGTGACTCATAAGGCTAAAGACCTGCCACCTGAGTAATCTCCAGAGAGTCCCTGGCACAGCCACCTCCATCATGTCCCACTCCCTGTCTCAGCCTGTTACACCTCCCAGGCCTGTTTATATGCCCAGTGTTAGCCGTTCTTCCCATTATTTCCCGTAGAACACCCTTCTACCGTCCTCTCCATGTACTGTGTCCCAGCTCTGGCCGCATTTGCACTGCTCAGGACTCCACCTAAAACAGCCCTGAACTGGTGCCATTCTTTATATAATCCCAACCAGTGCATATCCCAGAAGGTACATTTTCAGTGTTCCTAGCTGGGCTTCTTATAAGAGGTCTCTATTGAAGAAAATAAAAGCTGTATTGACATATAATTCATATACCATAATATCACTGTTTTTAAATGTACAATTTTGTAGTTTTTCATAAAGTCACAGATCTCTGCCATCACTGCACTCTAATTTCAGAATATTTTCGTGCTCCGAAGAGAATTACTGCATGTCGTTGTAACTTTCCACATTTCCTTCTGCCCTCAACCCCAATTCCTGGAATCCAAAATTACTTTCTCTTTCTATGAATATAAACATTCTAGACATTTCATCTCATGATATCATACAAGATGAGCCTTTGGTGTCTAGTTCGTTTAGGCAACATAATGCTGTCAAGGTTTACCCATGCTCATTACTTTTCATGGGCAAATAACACTACGATGACAGGTATTCAAAGCTTTGTTGATCCATTTATCAGTTAAGGGTGATTCTGATGTTTCCGCTTTTGAATATTGTAAATATTGCTGTTATGAACACGTTTAATTTTTACTTATTGATTTTGAGAGGAAGAAGAATGGGGGGAAAAAGAGGGATAGGAAGAGAGAGACAGACAGACACCGATTTGTTGTTTCACTTGTTGATGCATTCATTGGTGGATCCTTCTACATGTCCTAACAGGAGATCAAACCCACAACCTTGGCCTATCAGAATCATGCACTACCCAACTGAGCTACCTGGCCAGGGCTTGATCACTTTTGTACAAATTTTAGTGTGGATGTATTGTTGATTCTCTTAGATACATATGTAGTAGTGGAGGTGCTCACAGATGGCACCTCTATGTTTAACTTTCTGAGTAACTGACAATAGTTCCTTGGAGGTCTTTGGTTTCCCATCACTACAGAGATGTGATACCCTCCCCCCCAGATGTGGGTGTATGGAGTACATCTGGCTGCTGCAGCTCTGTATGAAAATGTGCAAGGTAACCCCGGCCTCTTGAGGACCAGCCTCTGCTAACCCTTGTCAAGGGGCCAGTCCACACACCTAGCTGATAGCTTAGGTTCCTGGAAATTATTCCTGTAATTTCTGGAACTTGAAAATTAGGTCCTTGGGATCCTTCGCTTCCCAAGCCTTCTCATCCTACAGGCCTGAGCACCAGGAGTCCTGATTCCACCATCCTCCTGGCTTCATAGCTCATCAGTGTTTGAAAACCTCTGCCACCGCCTGTGCTACATCCGTGGACTGAACCTTCTTCTATAGTCCCATTTGCTTGATTCCGCATCAGGGGGAATCCCCTCATCCTCATGCTCTCTGCTGGACTGGTCCTCAATCTACACCTCCAAGGCCCACGCTGCTGTTGGTCATGATCCCCGTCACAACCTGCTCATTCAAGGAAGAATCGAAACTGTTCTTATTAATTGTTGAGGGGTAAAGAGAAACACAAAGGAATACCATACAGGGCTCTCTCCTTTATGTCTTTCCCATTGAGGTTGTATTTGTTGGCAATGTAGTTCAGGATGGCTCTGGTCTGCACCAGCTTCATCCCATCAATTTCAACCATCGGCACTTGCTGGAACAGCAAATCCCCATCTTTTGAAGGAAGAAGAGAAAAAGGAGAGTGAAATGCCTCATAGACTGTAGGATAAAAGTATGTTTGTTGAAATGACTAAAGAAATGAAAGGAAACAAAAATTACTGCTTTGTTTTCAGACCTTGCTACTGACTCTACAGACACCCTCATCAGAGAGATTTAGATAGCCTTACCGTTTCTTAACTTTTCCAAGTCTTCTGCCATTTCCAAAAATTTTTCTTCAAACTAGGAAGCAGAAACAGGAAAGGAGTCCTTGTTATTCGTTCCATAGCATCATAGAAATTTGAACCTTCAATGCCCTCTGTCTGGTCCATCATGTGGAGGAGGAAAGCTTTCTGAGTTTGGCAGGACACACCCAGGAGTGCGATCATGGCCATTTGTGAACCTGGGTTAGAAACCTGGGTTCACAAACATGGCGTGGGTCACAGCACGTAACTGCTCATATTTGGAGGTTCCATCCACCTCCACTATTCTTTTTTATCTGTCAATGATTTGGTCGCGTTTTGGGAGGGGAGTGTTATTGGAGGGAAGGGACTGGGAGCTCTTCCAGGTACAGAGTTTTAACATTTCAGGAAAGCCTTTGTCTCCACGTGAGACAGACCATCATGTGGCCCCAGCATGGGATATGCCATGGGGCAATGACCACCTAAGATCTTGTCACTGGGGCCTCACTCCACGTTATGGGGGCCCCACTACGGGTGAAATGGGCTCTCTTAGCTGTACAGCTTGAAGTCTTCCTACTGAGAATTTCCTCTTTTGCAAAGTATGGCACACATAGGCTAGACTTCCCAATTTAAGGGGCGGAGGAGGATATCCAGTTGAGTTTTTAAATTTTAACCAAGCAAAAAAAGAAAGAAAGAAAGCCCTTTGGTTTCCGACATGACTGCTTGGATGTGAGAATCAGCCCTTTCCTGTACTTGCTCCATGAACTGGAGCACATTGCTGAATCTCAGTGTCTCAGTGTCTCAGTGTCCCTGTGTAAAATGTGTATGGTTATGGTTCTTGCTTTACAGGCTGATGTGAAGATTCAATCAACTAAGTGTGCTAAGGCCTTTGAACAATGCCAGGTGCATGTTAAGTGCTCCAAAAATATGAGTAGTCACTAGATGTTTAAAGATGGCTGCTGTTTCATGATATCATCCATCCTATTTTATAAATTTAAAGCAATCTACCATTGCTGAAAATACACTCTGTTCTTGATCTACATTCCTTGCCCCACAGCCTCTCCAGCCACGCTGGGGTGCACTAGAGGAAGCCTGGGATGCTCTCAGCATCACTCTGACTCACCCTCCCGTGCTGGACTCATCCTGCCCAGAGGCTCTGAACACGTCACTGAAACCCCAAGCTGAAGTCTGGACTACAGAGAGGACTTTGGGTTATTGGCGTACAGAGAGAAAACCACCTGGAGTGTTTCTATTTGCCTTTTTTGAGTACGTGTGTAGTTATGAAATTGATAAAGGACCAAGCTAAAGTGGCATTCACGAAACAATCAAGAAAGTCTAACCCAAGGCTGAGGTAAACCTGCGATTACGGAGGGACGACACATGAAGGGAGCGCGCTGGAACGCCAGCTCACCTGAAACCGTCTTTTACTGCTCTGACCTGAGGGACAAGGTCTCCCGAGTTCGTCCATGACTTCCTCCCCGGGGAAACCCTCAGCGGTGCTGGGTCTCTGATCTGGACTGAGAAATTTGTCTCACTGACACCTCTAGAGAGCAGGCGTGCCCTGCTAGGTGCTCTGCATCCCTCCTTTTAATCATCCCTTTGCTCGTCTGCTTCCTCACCAAAATGTAGGCTTCCTGAGGGCTCCCTGTCTGTCTCGCTCATCCTTGTATCCCAGGGACATAGCGTAGAAGCTGGAACTTAAGGGTGCTCAACAAATTTTCTGCTGAGTGCGTGCAGTAAATCTTTAACAGGCCGTTTCTGACAGTCCACTCCTCCCCACATTTCTGGCTTCCGCTTTCACTTCAATTACATCAATTTTCTGAAATGTTAGTTTCATCTTTTTATTATGGATCTTTCTAGCATGCATAAACAAGGCAGAGAATGATCCCCCTTGGACCCATCACCCACTTTCAATACCTATCGACTCCACCAACATTGTGTCGTGTTGGTGCCCGCCCGCTCTCCTACTCTCGTAATAGCTTAGAGCCAATTCTAGACATCATGTCTTGCACCCTTAAATACTCCCATCTCTATTTCCACCACAGAAGAATCAGTTCTTAAAATAACCAGAACATTATCCTACCCAACACCAGCAATGATTCTTTAATACCATCCAATAGCCAATGAATGTTCATGTTCCTAAAGTTGCGTAAATGTTACAAATGATATTTTACAGTGTGTTTAAATCCAAATAAAGCCCCCATTATGATGAGTTTCTTAAAGTTACTTCAATCGTTTACGTTCTTTGACGAGAAGAAATTTTAATAATATGTAAGGCCAAATCTGTTCATCTCAGGAACTAGCAGTCTCTGTTTTAACGCAGAACTCATGAGAAGCTGAGAAAAGCTTTCAGGTCAGTGAGAAAGTGCTTGAATACAGTTTATTTTAGATCCAACTTAAGATGACAGAACTCAGAACTGACCTCGACTCCAGCCGCAGCCAGGAGCCACCGCGTGGACTCCATTCGGCCTCGTCCATTGAAGTAGTAAAGCTTGGGTTTCCCCGCCATGATGCAGTCTCCTGTTTTCTCTAAACGTGAGTGAAGGAAGGAAGAAAGGAATGAGTGGGTGGATGGATGGATGGGTGAAGGTGCAAAAGCAAAAACTCACCTTATGACGTGTGGTGGAAGGGCACCAACAATGCTGAAGGAGTATCTGTCCTCGTTGCAGCAGAGTCGGAAGAGTCCCTGGAATGTCTTCTTTGGTCTAAATGCTCACCCATCGGTAGCCAACCCTGAGGAATCGCTGCAAACCCTTCTCATGTCTCTACTGGGTAGAATCTGATTGACTTGGCAGGCTAGTGGGAGGAGTCTGTGGTAAGGGTGTGCGTGTGCACGTGTCAGGGGGAGGGGAAGGGCAAGACAACTCCTAGCTACTGAAAATCTAATGATTCGGGCCCAGTGCTAGTGGCTTTGGGCACATTATGTGTTTAACCCCCATAACAGCCCCATGAACTTGCTGTTGTACCCATTATTCAGCTCAGGAACCTGAGGCACCGAGGCTAAATGACATGCCCACAGTCACACTCCAGTTTATCACAGGTATGGACATCCACGCCAAGGACTAAAGAAGAGCAGGGCTGGAAACCACCAGGAGCAGGCCCAGGGAGTGGGAGAGCCCTTGAAACCAGAGGATTTTACTGACAGGCAGGAGGGAGAGGGAGCAGGCGGGCCCCGGCATCGTGGCGCTTATGCTGCATTTGTTCAAAAGCTGAAATCTGGGCTGAGACTCACCGAATTGTAGCTCAAAAGACCTTAATTCTTTCCATGGACACAGGGTGCTAATTCTGTCCCTGTCTTGGAACTCTACATTCTACCTATACTTGGTGTGTTTTATAATCTAGAAAAGTAAGGGAAACTACTTTAACTTTACAGTCTACACAGTGGAACCGACATTGGTTCAGTGCCTGTCACACCATGGGCTCTCTCTCACCTATTTCCATTCACTTAATCCTACAAAAGTCAGGTTCTGAGATGGGTTCTGTTATTACTTAGGTTTAACAGTTGGGGATACTGAAGTTTCCAGAGTAACTTACTCAAGGTCACTGGTGGGCCCGGGATTCAAACCTACTTCCATTAAAAAACAAAATCTTGGCTTTATTTTCTGTCTTAGAGTTTTTGTTAAGATATGCACGACAGTTCTAAAGTGAACTGTGATATCCACCAATTTAGAAAAGGAAATAAAAAAAAGGAAAATATCAGAGAGCATTATATATGCAGTAGATAAGCATTGTTTCATGAGGTTTCGGTTTCAGTGGTGTATGTAATAGATACAGGTGTGCGCATACTCATTTCGTTATTATATCCTAAGAGACACTTTATTTGTGTCTGGTCAACAAAATTTAAAAGCCTTTGGTCTATCCCAGCCTGCATGGGAAGCGAACATGGCCTGGAACCAGATATTGAAACTCAATGACTCCAACAGTGGGCTCAACTAGTTCTGTCATTGTGTGAATGAAGCACACAGAACTCATTAAAAGCGAGCATCTCAAAGCCAGACTTGGAGAGGAACAATCTTTAGATACGAGATTGCATTTTCTATCTAAATCCCAAACTCTGCTTAGAAAATATTAATTCTCTTGAAAAATTGCTGTGGTGGAGTTTGGGACAAAAGTATACTTCCTTTTACCCAGTGGATATAACTCTGAAAACATGAGTGTGACTTGAATTTTAGCTATTGAAACGTTTTAAATATGTACATTGTTAACGTGAGATTCAATAGTCTAAGCTTTAGAAAGTAACAAATCTTTGCCCTGCCTGGCGTGGCTCAGTTGTTTGAAGCATTGTCCCCCGAACCAAAGGGCACTGCTTTGCTTCTGGTCTGGGCCCACGGCTAGGTTGTGGGTTCAGGCTCTAGTCAAGGTATCGACGTACGAGAGGCAATTGATCGATGTTTCTTTCACTCTCCCTCACCCTTCTTTCCCCTCTCTCGAACACCAGTAAGCATGGCATTGAGTGGGTATTTAAAAAAAGAAGAAAGCAAATAATCTTTTGGAAACATGCTTGATCAACCTGTTTTGTAAGTGGAGATTTTGGCATGGCATTGAGTGGGTATTTAAAAAAAGAAGAAAACAAATAATCTTTTGGAAACATGCTTGATCAACCTGTTTTGTAAGTGGAGATTTTATCTATTCTACTTTCTTATCAGGGGAAAGGGAGACACTATGATTCAGCAGAATGAAAAGGAGGATAAAGTTTGTGCTAGCATGTGCAACATGTTTACTATGCACTAGAATTTACAGAGCTTAGTGACTCAAACCCTCTCATTGAGCTCCCTTACTCCATTGATTGAGGACCGAGTTATAAAGGGAAATGATTTCTCTCTTATATAAAGTTTTATCATCAAGCTCCTGCTCAAAAGCAACTTTTTTCACCTTCCAAGCGGGAGGTCCCCAAAGTCCTGATCAAGACTGGGCCAAAAGTTATCACGAGACTTTGGTCAGCAGAAAATGACAACTGGAGAGATGCGACAACTTGCCAGAGGTCACACACGTTTGTTCCTGATTCACAATGAGTATCTGGCAAGTGTGCCTACCCTCTACAACAACCCTAGGACACAGCTTCTAATATACTTTAAGGATGAGGAGACTGGAGTTCAGAGAGATAAAGCGCCTCTCCTACGCTCGTGTCTCGCGAGCGTTAGGTTAGTGTGAACTCATCTTCTGATTTCAGGTCTGGCGCTTTTTCACTCCACCATGGAACACTTGGGCAGGCTCTGTGCTTCCCCATTTCCCCATTCAGAATCCACTAGCCAGCTAATGGCGAAAGGGGAGGGAGAGAGAGAAACATTGAGTTCACAAGCTCCTTTCTGTTACCTGATTTTTAGTGGCTTGACAGGAAGAAACGGTAATAAGCGCATTCCTTGCTTTACATCGATACCCTGAAAAACTGTGAGTAAATTGAGAACTAGCATGACTATATTTTACCTTACTAATGAAGTAGGCTTATATTTCTTGAAAGGAATATATCCTATGATAATTCCACAGCAAACAAGGAGTTCGGTCTCTGGGGATGGTCCTTATCACACGTTTCTTAGCAGAGAGATGAGAGACTTGGAGGCAAAGCCCAACTCTTTTCCTTATGAGGTTCATAAACTTGGCCAGGTTGTTTAGTATTTGCACCCCAGTTTTCCCTTCTATAAATGGAGACAGGTATATGTACTTTTGAGAGTTACAGAGGAAGTTAAATGTTATCTTGTACATAAAAGTCATAATAGGAATAGGCAAATGCACAGCCCCTCCTGTGCCCTTACCTGGGAAACAGGTAAGGCTCTGAACACATTTGGCAGCACGTGTATCTTCTTCCTTCTGTCTGTCATCCTGTCCATCTATCTGTCTATCATCTGTCTGTTATCCAGCTAGCTAGCTAGCCATCTATAATCTATCAATTTTTTGACTCAGAGCTCCAGTGCAGAGAAGATTTTTTCCACCCTTAATCATTCTGAATGTTAACTCGCTTTGTATTCTTCATCCTGGTTGTCCTAACAGACACATTTTTTGGCTATTTAGTTGGAAATGCTGAATCGTTGATTGCAGTTGGCTATTAAATCTCTGAAATCTTTCCAGGATAAAGTTGTTTTGAGAACATACTAGTTTTCTATCCATTCACACCTCTCATTCAACTCTACAGAGTACAAAGAGCACCAGGATGGGACTTTACCCCACTCCGAGTTCTTCCTACAAGTGCAGGATAAAATGAAGGGAAAAGGGGGAATAGCAACCCACACTGTGTTGACCGAATTGATCAAGTGATGATTTCTTCTAAAGCTGGTACATAAGCAGTTACCACCAGTGTCTTAAAGGCGTAAAGTTTAAAAGTTGGAGGAAATATATGTTAACACTATTGTCAAGTATATTCCTTAAAACTAATTAAATGCACATTTCTGTAACAAAAATTTTTGAACAAGCAAACAAACCAGAAGACCAACGGACAAGACAGCTCCCCACTACAACGAATGACCCAGCCCAACATGCCAATAGTGTCACAGTTGAAAAACCTGCTCCAGCCACTCGCTGGAACTTGCCAAGGACCCCAGAGAGAAAGAGAGGGACTGCTCAGTCAGCTAAAAACAGCTAAAACAGAATACAATCTAGTTCCCCTGATATTTAGAGGAATTTCATCCTATTATAATAAATAGTAACTCTGAATTTTCACAACCTCTATAAGATTACAGTACTACCATTTACAACTGTGCGTGTTGACTTCTTCAATAGAGAAAGCAAATTCAGCACTTTAGTATGAACACCTACACACTCTCTTGCGCTGGTCACGTTCTCAGCTTACGTAAAATGACATTGTTCTTTCTCCTCATATTAATTTTTCTGACATCACAATGCTCATGCCCTAGTCTTCTAAATGCTTTGTTTTTACATTTTTCTAAAGACATGTCCAACAGCAATTGAATGAACAACTCTTGGCTTGTCCCATAAGCACACCAAAAAGGCACAATGTGAGCATAAGAAAAACATTTTCTTGTGTAAGGACACATTAGGAAACATTTTCTTTTCTTTCTCTTTGGTGTCTAGGATGTGAGGATGTGAGTCAATGTATGAAGGTTTATGAAATCAGCACTTACCTTATTAAAGTCTGTCTCCTGCTTGCTCAGCAACTCAATGCCAAGTCCACATGTGTTTAGCAGCTGTTTTTATAAAGGAATAACTCCTCCTCTCTGAAAGGCCTTGCTTCCAGATAAGGAAAAGCAAAGTTCGCAGTGTTCAGGGTCTATGAGTTCCATGCCAAATGAGGGGGCGGAAAATGACAAGTCATCCTTGTTTGTATAATGAAACTACTGGTTAATATGTCCCTTCTCAGGGTGAGCATATAAGAAGTTAAACAAGAATTTAAGATTGTTGGACTCTCTCTGCCAGTGTGTGGGGCATGGCTGTTGAAAGAAGCTTGCTGTGTGGGGTTTTCATTAATTGGATGCACGGACTAAGGTAGATAACAAACGTCGACTGTGAGCAGAACAGGGACCCAAGGTCAGTAAAGGGCAAGCTGATTGTGGAATGCTTTTTATATCGGGTTGCAGATAAAATAGAGGACACCCAAGAAAGTATGAGTTTCAGCCCTGGGACATATTTATACCAAAAATTATTTATTGTTTATCTGAAGTTCACGTTTAACTGGCCATCATATATTTCCTCTGCTAAATCTGCCAAAACTGCCACCGCACTTTTTCCTCTTGCCACACTCAAGTCAGCCTTGCTAGCCCTGGGCCTCTGCGTATGCGATTTGTTCTGTCTGGAATACTCTGCTCTGAGCCAGTGCTGTGTTTTCAACATCAGGTGTTCAATGTCGTTTTCCCCCATAGTCTGTGAAGTGCTGGGGGCAGGGTTTTCTTCTTGCTTACAGGCACATTCCCATTGTCTGCCACAGTGCCTGGCATGTAACAGGAGCTCAGTAAAGAATACATAATGTAGTTTTTGAAAATTATTAAACGGAAAATTTCCAGCAACTACAAACGTACAGAGAATGGTAGGAAGTAGAGCAAGCCCAACATACCCATCCCCCTGCTGCAGCGATTGCCAACAATCTGCTTTCATCTAGACCCCGTGTGGGTGGCATGGTGGCCCCCTGAAAAGAGTGATTTGTGTCCAAATGCCTGGAACCTGTAAATGTGACCATACCTAGAAGAGGGGTCTTTGCAGATGTAGTCAAGTAAGGGACGTGAGATGACGTCATCCTGGATTATCCTGGCAGGCCCTATATCAGATGACAGGTGCCTTTACAACAGAAGAGAAGACACAGACACACAGAGGGTGAGGCAATAGAAGGTGGAGGCAGGGCTTGGAGTGACGTGGCCGTGAGCCAGGGAAAGCAAACGGCTACCAGAAGCGGGAAGACGCAGCAAAGGGTCCTCCCCAAATGCCCCCGCAGGAACTGCAGCCCAGCCAGCCCTCTCACTTTGAACTTCCGGCCCCCACAACTGCCAGAGAATACATTCTATTGTTTTCAGCCACCCAGTTTTAGTGACTTGTTATAGCAACCACAAGAAGCTCACATATGGGAATCTACTTCTCCCACAACCATGGGATTGTTCCGAAGCACATCCTAGGCAGCTTATCACTTCACCTATCAAAAATTTGGTATGCTAATCTCTAAAAGACAGGGACTCTTTCTAAGCATAACCATGGTGTTCTCCACACACCCTGAAAATTATGATTCCTTAACTCCATTAAATTCTTAGAATTCTAATTTTGCCCATTTTCTCATGAAGGCTTCTTTAGAGCGGGCTTATTTGCAGAGTCCATGCAAGGGCCATACAACGCACTGGAGTGATATGAATAAATGCATTGTGAAGACATGGGAGAGTGAACACAGATGTCAGGCAGATGAGAGTGTGTGTGGAATCCTGAGGTGTTCCCAAAGCCCAGACTCGAACACTTAGGTCATCAAGGCATGTGTGGAGTTGTGCAAGGTGTTATTGTGACAGGATAGGAAGAAGCCAGGAAAAGTCCTAGACCAGACGCATAGGGAAACCGAGACAAGAAAATTACACAAAGCCAAACAATTTGAACAACTTACAGCCAACTCGTGAATCACAAGATGTGACCCTCTCCAACCAAGGACACTTGAGAGAAAAAGGTTTACACCTCTCATCCCTAGCCAGAGAATACACGTCTTAAATCCCCCTGGCCAGGTAGATGGCGAACAGAGACCCAATTAATGCCATTTGTTGCCAGCTAAACCCAAGGACAGATGAAGTTAGAAGGACAATTAACACAAACCGCATTAAGGTCAGACAGACTTAAGATAAATGCAAAATAGTAGAGCAGACCAAAGAATAATCCCAAACCGCCCATGCTCTCATTTGGATGCATCAGTGTGTTGCTGCATCCCTGGGCTGGGCAGGTCCCCTAGAGGGACTTCTCATATTGATCAACTCATATTTATTTTTAACTCACCTGAATATTTCTTGTATAATGTATGAAATAGGGCTCTATATTTGTTTCATTTCAATTAATAGTGGTCCTTGCACCTTATTTGTTGAATAAGCCTTATTTTACCCATCGATTTAAAATATCAACTTAATCATATATTATGTTGTTAGACAGATGTATACAGTTGTCTCTAGAATGCTCATTATATTTCATTGATCTACTTGATTAATTCTGTGGTGGTGTCATGTTGGATTAATTGCTGAGACTTTATAATGGTTTTAAATTTTTTAACAGTTTATAATTCACTTTGACATTTAAAACAATAAATAAAATCAATCTGTATTAAAGAGAGAGAGATGGACCTCGTACCTTTTGCGATAACATGGATGGAACTGGAGAATATTAAGTTAAGTGAAATAAGCCAGTTGATGAAAGACAAATACCATATGATCTGACCTATATGTGGACTCTATTCAATGAAATAAACTAACGAACGAAATAAACCACAGGCATGGAACCATGGAGCAGACTGAAAGGGACCAGAGGGGATGGGGAAAGAGGACAATGGTGGAAATAAGGGGAAGGGGTTAGACAAAGAACATGTATGAATGACCCATAGACATGGACAGCAGAGTGGGAATTGACTGTGGAAGCCAGGAGTGGGGGTGGGATGGGTGGAGCAGGGCAAAGGGGGGGAAATGGAGGCAACTGTAATATAATAAATGTGATTTATAAATTTAAAAAAAAACAAATAAAAATTAAAAACTAAAAATAAAAAAATTCAAAAAATTAAATAAATAAACATTTTAATTAATAAATAAATAAAACCACAATATCACAACTTAAATCACAACTAAAAAATTACCAATAATTTTAATGTCTACTATTCAATCAGTAATCAGTTTCCTAATTATTATGTCATAAATATTTTACTGTTTATTGATATTCAAATTGAAATAAGGTCCATAAATTATTTTTTATTTTTTTAAATTATAAAAAGTAGAGCTAAAATAAATGTATCTTAATTGCAAATATGACATTAAAAATAAAATAACAAAGCACTTTCCAAATATCTGGACAAGCCCTATCATGAACCTTATGAATCCTTCTGTTTTCCATGATTAAAAACTTCTCCAGCAACTGTCCAATATAAAAGATTTTCAGACTTTTTATGATCTAATTCAGTCTTCTTTGGAACTCTAGGTTGTCGATATCTCTCTCAAAATGGGATATTCAGAATTAAAGCCAATGCTCTAAGTGTGGTCTGACTACAAAAATGATGAACCACTCTGTTAGACTAAGCAGGTAACATTAACTTTGGAAATGTGACTTTGACATAGATCTCTTATTCCTCATCCCACAAATCCATAGCTACATCTAAAGAAGCATTCCAACATCCAACCTTGTGCCATTGGTTTGGTACAAATTAAATTCAGTCTCATGCTGACTCACTTAAAATCTTCCTTTGTTGTTTTCAGATCAGCGCCCTAGTCTTTCAAGATCACTTAGAATGTTGTAATTTTAGAAAAGAAAAACAGGTGCTGTTTAATAGTAAGTGTTAAACATGGGGGTAAGGTGTTTAAATTCACTAACTGAATTCTCTACACAACACTTGAGAGAGATGTGGTGCCCACTTTATAGACTGAAAAATTTAGGTACTGAGAGTTATTGAAGTTATTTGTCAAATGTCACAGAGTTAAGGCAAAGAACTGGGATTCAAAGTCAGGAATTTAAGCACCAGCTCCTCAGCTCTGTTTTATGCTCCACAGCAGAGAAACATAGAGTGTGTTTGGAAATCTAATGGATGAACTCAAAGTAGAATTTAAGTTTCTGGATTCTGAGATTGCTTCCTGAAAATTTAGTTTGTTTCTTAGATCTCCTAGCTTCTCAAACATGGCTAGACCCATAACTTTACACATCACTTCGTATGTCTAATCCCTAAATGCTCATGTTCTACCACTCACTTCTGAAATATTTGTCACTTCCAGGTTTTATGCTATCTTCAGATTTAGGCAGCATTTAACCCAAATAGACAGGGATTAGAGAGGGTCGAGACACCTGCTGAGAGCTCAAAAGCTATCCCATATGTATCAATTTTATCCATAATAAGCACATTTTATTTATTTTTTATATTTGACGATGTTCTTTTTTTCCTGCAATGACCATTTAAATTTAACTATAATGGAAATCTCTCTTTCTCATCTTTTTCCTCATCATACACATGCCGTTTTAAGACAGTTTCTAAAAAACAAAACAAAACTTGTTTTAAGGGCAGTCCCTAGTTCCAAAGATGCTGACACCTTTAACAAGTTTTTCCAATTTGAAAGCCTACCGTGGCATTTGAAAGCCTACCGTGGCATTCTCAACTGTCCAGTGATTTAACCAGTCAGCTTCCTGGAATCAACTCACTCATACACATTGCCCCTTGACCTCCAACTGACAGCCACAGCCTTCTTGGTGAAGAATGACCAGGTCCATGAATTATGATTAGTTGTTATTTTGTTTGTTTGTTTTTTAAAAATTTTTCTTTTAATCTTTCTATACTCTTACATGGGCTTTTTAATAATTTTCATTGATAAACTAGTCCAAGTCTTTCTTAGTATGCATTATATTTTTATTTAAGGCAATACCACTCACAGACCATCTAGTATGGAAGTCTCCTAGCTTATGTGAGAAAGTACTTTGATACTTTCTGTCATTTTAGATCCAACTTAAAATGACAGAACTCAGAACTGACCTCGACTCCAGCTGCAGCCGGGAGCCACTGGGTGGA